ATCTTGACCGAGGTCGTGAGTACAGACCGAACGCAGTGAGGTCTGTACACACGACCGAGGTCAAGATTCTCCCATACAAACCGACTTAGCTCGGTTAATAAGATGTTTATTCTATGGCAAAGAAGAAAACTTTAATTCGTTTAATGTAACTGGTTTGCTGACATTTTGCTTACAAACGGAGATGACTTTTACTTAAACCTGCCGAAATTTGCTCGTCCCCTTTACTTTTTTTTTTTGTCATCAGGCTTTTTGGCACTTCCATAAATGATTGAGCAGAAAATAAAAGAAAGTAGTGAGCGTTTTTGTATTTTAGTTTGCTACTTTTTCAACGCAAAATGAAACCGGTCTAGATGGCGGTCTAGATGGGAAAATCTAGACCGTGGTCAATATCGATTTCAGCCAATCGAATTCGTGAATTCGGTAGTTCCCAGTCCTTGTGAGACACAGCCATATAATGAAAGGATTTACAGGGTATAAACAAGGTACTGTTGCTCCTAAACGAACATGGGGACCCCTCACATTTATTTTAAAATTTTAGTTCCTATAATATAAACAATCAACAGGCAAAATTTCACAAAAATCGTAGTGCAGTTTCTATTTCAGTGGAATTACCTTAAGGTGGCCGAACAAAGTTTTCGTGCGCGCTCTTGCTAACGCGATTCAGCGCGCACACAAGGTTGCAACAAAACAAACGTGCCGTCGATACAGCGATCATTTTATTTGCTCAATGCCCGCTCTATCTGTGCTCTTTTTCTTCATAATTGAACGCAGTGTATTGATAGTTTTAGTCTTTTATCACAAAGGTGTGTTAGAAAAGGTAACGATGCAAAGAACCCACCAATTCTCAGCTTTTTCTTTGTTACCAAAAGAACCCAGTTAAATGCAGCGCATGCGTAATAAGTCAAATATTACGATTGAATGCGGAATAGCCTTCTCGGAGAAACGCCTATTTCTTTAGAACCACTCATTAGAATTTCACGAAATTTGGCACGATAATACTTTAGAAAATAAGTAACTGGGGTATTGAAAAAATTTTGAACTTTAACAAAGGAAATTCTAGATATTCCAGTGAACCTTCAACAAGGGATGATTAAAGATCTCTGTGTGGAATTATTATCAAAATAGTTAACTTGTGAGTTTGGTTACAAGCTTGTTGCGTGCAAATTATAACGAAAATGTATTGACTAGATTTTCTACAATTAAACAAAACTGATTTTAAAAGGCGTGTTTATATTTATTCATGTTACCATGGCAACGGCACATACCTTAGCTTAACTATCAAAAAACCAAAGTTTGTGTTGTTAAGTTGCTTGCTGCCATTTTCAGCAAGCAAAGGATCGAGGGTTTTAGAGAAAAAAGTGAATGAAACACATGCAGCTTAATTAAGAACCTGCCTAGCAACTCTCACATCGTACTCCTTTGACAATGAATAGAGCAAAGGGCCCTAGCCAGGCACATCTTTGTTTTTGTTATAAATGCGAGAGTTTGGCTGTTATATTTTATTCGGAGTATGTCGAAACGAAGGAAATCACTGTGAAACTACTGAAAACATAGCTTTCAGTAGAGCAATAAGATTTCGCTTCACCATGCAATATCAATAACTTCGATGACATCGAAAATGGCGGAGGCTGACTAGGGATCTTTAGGTGTACAGTAATTCATGTAGTTCCTGAAACTGTGCAAACAGAAAAGGATCAAAGCTTGCCAGTTGCTCATTGGAGAACATTTTTGAATTTGATGTGTACGCGACGAACCCATGTCAGTGCATTGTTGCCATGCCAGTTGTCATACAGGGCAGCAGATATTGACAGCAGTCTCGTAAACATACAGCGTTTTGTCAAGAACCAGTATTTTTAATATATCTGTCCCTGGCTGTGGATGGCGGCTGATCAAACTATCCTGGGAGAGGGGAGGGTGGGACTCCGATATAAAATGGTCGGAGATACTCGTGGGAAAATTTAAATAAACCCCTAAAGGAGAGTAATCAGGGCGTGGCTCGATATTTGAACCCTAAAAGATACCACTTAAAACAGCATAGGCGTATGGGCCGAGGGGTGGGTGCAGCCCCACAGTTTCAGAAATTTTGATGATTCGCTGATGATTCGGACGAAAGTACCTGAGAGAAATCATTCTAAAAGGTTGTCAAGGCCAGGCTTGTAGGCAACCTCGTTCCCAGGCTCTCTCTTCTCTGCCTCCCTTGTTCGTTGGAAGAAAGACCCTGGTTGGGTGGTAAAAGACCCTATATGGCGGGAGGGGTGGCAGAGTGTTTTGATTGTTGCTGTGGCAAACTTTGTGGGTTTCAAAACCAAGAGCAGTCGCTAAAAACTACCCGCTTTATCGGGGTTTGATGTGAAATTTTGCCGATGAAGAATGCTACATTATTTCTGCCGTCTCCAAAATATAGAAGACGTTCGTTCACAGACGGAAATTCGGTAGCCGAATGGAGTTCAAACTTTTCGACGGTTAGCACATGTAGAACGTCACGTACCGAACCGAAGTGAAACCGGTGGATCAGTCTCTTGAATCAATTCGGAGGTAATTTATTTTCTTCTTTGTGAGGTAATTTGGATGTTAAAAAGTATTTCTGTCACACGGCCGATTAGCCGAGTATGGCTGACTTGCACTAGATTTGATTTACAGCATTGTAAAATGATTTACAGGTTTATTGACATAAGCCTGCACTTAAATTTCATTTGCATCAGGCTTACGTAAGCTTATATTTAGACAGTTGTTTAATTAAACACGGTTATATTTTGCACACATTAAGTTTTGCAAAATGGTAAATAAAACACCGCTTTATATAGCGACCAATGTGCCGTGAGGTTAATTCAGGCAACATGAAACAGCGAAACAGTTTTACTGGAATTGAAATCAGAGTGGTACTTCAATACGCTGGATATATGTAAATACATTTCGTTTGACCTGTGTGAAGCTTACAATAAGACTGGAGAATTTCAAAGGTATATTTGCTGAGTATTTGTCCGTGTGTGGTTTACAATAGCGATGACCAGCGATCGCCTTACTTTCCCTTCAGTTGAGATCGACAAAAATTATTCGTTGACTCTTCCCCCGTGGAAAAGTTTGTGTCACATTTGGTCACGTGACCAGCCGCAACGAGGGTCTTTCTTCCAACGACCAAGGGAGGCAGACAAGAGAGAGCCTGGGAACAAGGTTGGCTTGTAGGCTACATTCTCTGACGTTTGCCTTGCCAATATGGAGTGTTATAATCGGTTGACGGTACCAATCGCAAAATAACAAAACAAATAACGAAGTAACTGAAACGGGTCCAACTTGTACGTTTATTCTCCTCGCGATGACGGTATGCGAATATTTGCTTCCAACACGATCTCGGTAATAAGACAGAACAAAACAAAAGGCTCAAAATACAAAATCTCGTATGACATGTCAACTGGTAACTCGGGTAACACAACATGTCACGGTCACGCAACTATAAGTCTCTTAACATGGAGTTAAGGTCAAATGATAAAAGGACCCAGGTATTTTGTTTTGGAAAAGCCATATATCGTTTGAATGTGTATCGTGGAAAATTATTTCCATCAACAAAACAATGACGAAAGAATCAAAGCAAACGTAGACCAAGACTTTTGTTTTTGTGGTGGCTCTGACAAGAGCCGTTTTGAATAGCTCCACAAAGAACCGTTTTAAAATTTTCTTGAAATTATCGTACGAGGAACTATTAACAACCAATTCGGTGTCCGGTCGTTTCGAAACTCGTTTCGATACACATTCTAAGTCGAATCGGTACAAAACTTTGAGATACCAGGCAGCCTGAAATTGTTATAGCATTTCCATGTTAAGAATTGTCAAACGTTGCTAAATGTTTTTGTTTTGTAGTGGACGATGGCTAGTCTGACTTCCCTTCAAATCGGGCTTGTTTCGGAGAAGAAGTACGGCGTATTCAGCTGGCGGATAAAGTTTCGAGACCTCCACACAAACATGATTTTTGTCCTTCTGGGATAACATTCTTTCGATCGATCGCTGTCGTATGCTATGCGAAGATAAGAAGACTTTCATTGGGATATTTCCTCTAGTTAACTTTTGCTTCGAAACGACTTCAGTCTGTATCGAATTGACTTTAGTTTGTGTCGAATCGACCGTAAATCATTAACTGTATCTTTCATAAGTTTCTGATTTTACTAGGCCGTCTATCGAGGTCACACAGTTTGCGAGTGCGAGGTTTCAAAACAACTATTTTTGGAAAGATAACAGTTTCATTAGACGTGAGAATTGTGAACGTTTTCGTTCATGTTTTTACTGCGATTTGAGTGTGTTTTAACAACACTCACGCTATCGGGCATTGTGTAATTTTCTTCGCTCTTTAGTTTTGGATTTTAGAATTAAATGACGTCACGTGAAAATAGTCAATAATGTAACGTCTGCGTTATGCTCGCGAAGAAGATAAACATTTAATGTTGCACAAGCTTCGCGAGGTCATGCGTATGTGAGATTTAAGCACCCACACGGAAGTGGAGAGGGGATGGGGGCGTTGTTTGTTTAACTGGATTAGAGAAAGTACTGTTTCGAATAAAAACAAGAGCGTGGTTTGATTAGTCATGATCCGTTAGAGTGTCGTGATGCTGGTACGTTGTGATGTCTCGAGATGGCACGACGTCAGTCACGCAACGTCTATATACGGATGAGAGAGTTTTAAAGACAAATAGCTTTTGTTGACAGAGCATCTCATTGGACAACGCAATTACACAGTTCTCAAACACGAGGTCTCATTCGAAGAATGTAAACTGAAAGCCCCCTTGACTTTTAGCGCAGGATACGGAATACTTCAGAGGTTTGTCTCGACCAGTCAATCATACATGAAACAGTAGTAGCACGTTGAAAAGAAATACAAATCGCTCCGCTTCAGTGGTTTATTCAGCCGCATATCGTTTAGCATACAGTCAAACTACATACCGAAGAGCGGGGCACATATTTTGATAGGTCGGACCTTGTGTAATCAAATGGATTTGTAACCGAGAGCACGAATTTTGTTTTTGACCGTTCTTTTAACGTCGTGAAGCGGCCAACTCCAGCAATCGTCGTAATGAAAGCAAAATACGTAAACTTTCGCATCTTGGCAATCGTCCTCTGCAAGTACGCTTGGTCATCTGCGACGCCGAGTTTACATGCAATCACGGATTTGTACGAGATTGATGGCGACGGAAATACCTTTGAACATCGCGTTGACAACGAAGGGAAACAGTGGAAGAGACAGGTGAACTTGCAAAGGCTTGAAGTATTATCAAATGACGTGGTTCTTGGTCTTCCATTTGATAGCTGTCTTGAGGACAAATTAACAAACATTGATGACAAACCTGACGAACAAAAGTCGAAGTTTGAAGAAATACATCAGGTAAGATTCAGTTTACTTTCATAACGGTGAGTTGGATCACTCGGGAGGGCTTGGCGAGGGAGGGGTGGGGCGTGATGATGCAAGTAGTGAAACTTTCGTATTGTTCAAATATATTTGACTTTATTAGGATTTTCAAACTTCTTTCGTGAATTCCACATCCATACCCTTAAATCATGTAAGAGGCTAAATCTCACCTACCTCTGGACAGTGAGCATTATCCCTTCCTCCCACCTCCCCTGGGTAGTGCAGAGAAATTTGCGAACATACATCAGGAGCCCACAAGCTAGTTCTTTGAAAGGATACGCTTCGAACTCTCGTATGTTCAGTGTATGCTGAAGCAAACGTCAAGGCTGTTTTATAAATAAATTACGTGGGTAATTTGGTTTGGCTGAGTAATGTAAATTACTTGTGTTGGTTAAAGTATGCTAAAAATGCAGTGCTTTCTTCAGTCCTTCGAGCGTGACGTGAAATACACTTTTTTTTGGATAACAATGTTGTTTACCTGGCCGAGGCTGAATATTCTTATTTTTTCTGCCGATTTTAGGCTGAAATTATTCTGGAGAATATTGTTAGATTATAGCGTATGACATTTCTGTTTTTGCATTAGAAATGCTATTCAGAAATGCTACTAAAAATGCTATTCAGCCTCGATATCCTGTAGAGTGTGTTCATTGTCACGCAATTAAAAAAATAAAAACAAAACCATTCAGTGGATTAAGTCAAGAAATTGTGATATTATAGACGATAAATAAAGAAGACAGTTCTGCAAGTTTAAGGTGTGTGCGCGCGTTGTCCCAAAGTTGAGATATTCGTCGAAATGTTCCGCGGAAAATTGTAGGGCTTAGTATGGATCCGCCATGTTGGAGGACCTCCCACGTCCTCCAATATGGCAGCCGGAAAATAGTGTAAACATCTGGAACTAACTTTGATTATCTAGACGACTGATTATCTGAACCGAACCAAAAAACATTTACACAAGCACTTTTCCTAATACTTTAACTCCTAAAATGGCTAAAAATCACGAGATAAGTGTATATTTTTTGACAAAAGCGATCTTAGCTTCATGTCACGTACCCCATAACTCCGAAATTCAAAATGCGCTGGTTTCCAAACGAAGGACGCTATTGAGCGGGAAAGTTGTAAACAGATATAAATTTAGTTCCTCTTATGCCTGATGAGGATGAAACCTTTAGTGGCTCTTTAGGTTTGGATTTGAGAATTTGATGACGTCGCGTGAACACACTCTATAATTATAAAACATATTCGTATAAAAGAGAAAGAGTGTAACAACGACGCCGACGCCTAGGAGTCGATTAAAAAGTGATTTTACATTTTACCTACGAATCTCGCGAAACTTTCAAGTCATTTATTTTGTTTCTTACCGTCGAAACTATCACGAAACAGCCGTTGTGGTTCACGTTCTCCAGAAAACGCAAAATTTGGTCATTTCATGTTGTTGTTTTGCAGACTGGGACGGCAAGAATTATACCAAGAATTATAACGCACGTGCGCAGCCACTGCTCTGCTCATTTAACCTTTTGTTTTGCGACGTTCCTTTTTCCATTGCCGTCATTGTTTTCTTAAACTCCTTAATACCGCACTATTGGGCCTTGTTTAGATAGATCCACCTCCATATTCTGTCGTGGAGGGGAAGGGAGTTGAAGACAGAGACGATTTGTTAACCAAGGGGTGGTAATATGCAAGACTTTGCCCGTGAATGTATGAGAAAGTAGCGTAATTGTGATCAATAGGCCATTTCCGAGTTGCCTTGTGCCTCGGTTTCAAAACGAGTCCTCGAGCAAAACTTTTCATATGAAAATGAGTTTGATTTGCATGAAAACGAACCTGTAGGCGGAATAAATTCCACATGAATGGTTTGCACGAAGACTACTTTTCACAGAGAAGCAAAAGGCAACTCGGAAATCGCCTATAGCGAACAAATGAGTTTTGCTGTTCTTCCCATTTGTTCTCCTCAGCACGCTGGATTCCATCATGTTCACCGCACCAGTATGGCTGTGAGGCCTCATTGTGTGTTTGACGTGGTGGTGCCCTTTTACAACTCCTCTCAGGAGGCGCGGATGCCTGGCGAGTTTTGCACTCCTGAACACGTGACAGGCGGAGCAGCCGTTGGGGATTATGATGGAGATGGAATGGAGGACATTTATTTTACCGTGTTTGACGAAAGGAGTGTCCTGTACAGAAACAACGGTGAGATCTGGACCGCCTCATGCCGGTTTTTGATACTTCAAAATTGCTAACTATCATCTTCAATTTTGTTTCTGTAACGCCAATTGGTAATAGCCTGGAGGGTTTAATCACAGAGTGAATATCACGCTCTGGATCCCGCCAAGCGTGCATGCGCATCTGTCGTGTCAGTGGCCAAGCTGGTCACGTTGCTGACTTCATCCTAGCATACGGCTGGTGCGCCTATTTGAATTGACCAATCAGGATTTAGCAGGCGGGAAAAACTGTACTTTTTTAACTTCAGTGTATGTTAATAGCAAAGGTATTGAAGTCGGGCAACTTTTCTCACTGGAGATGGCATTGAATATCCAGGAAACGGGTTTTATAGACCTTTATAATTCCAAAACCCATATCAGATTGTAAAAAGTTTTTAATCTGAAATATTTTGTCTCCAAGCTTTTAATTTGGTGCCAAAACCGGGTCGCCCGCGTTCGGCAACTGGCTCGTCGCTCGTCGTTTGGTAGGTTAATAGTTGTGTCATTTTGAACAAAATGTTCTTCCCTGTCAAATTAAACCCAGAATTTTTGAGCTAAGTATGAAAAGAGGCCAAAGCAACTTTAGCATCATCTTTATCTTTGCGATCCGCGACTTTTATCGCGTCGTTTCTGAAGGACACCTCGGTTTTGACTGCCTCTCGTACAGCGGGCGCAGCCACCATATGCAAGGATACCTAATCGAACCTTTGTGGTACCTGACATATCAGGCGAGTGTGGTTCGCATTTTGTCAAGACGTATTCGAGCTATAATACCAATGGCGAGACCAAACTAGCCTGATATTCCGATCCGCCGAAGCGTACTAAAAAGGGTGCGGCAATCTGTTAGGCTTTCCAGTTATGTGGCGCGCAGGAGGAGGTTCGGGAGGAAAGTTTCGACACCTTTAAAGCGCCGAAAACAAACGCTAAATATTTTAATGCGAGATTGTTTTTATAGTTTTAACACCTCTTATCAATGTGACTTACGGGAAAAATACTTTATTTGAAAGTGACCCTGATATCGTAGCCGTATCAGGCAAGTGACGTCAGTGCCTTGATATCGTAGGATATCAGGACAGTAGACAATCTTCTCATTGGCTAATTGTGATTCTGGGTGCGGTGTCAGTTAGTTTTAATACTAAGAGTGATGGTGCCCCAGAAAAGAAACGTGTATGGGACGCACAGTGGTCTAATGGTTTGCGTGTGGGATGTCGGAGCGAGCGGTCCGGGTTTGAATTGGGCTCTTAGGTACTCTGCTCTCTCCATCTAGGCGAATGAGTATGCAGACTCGTGTGTGCGTGTGTGTGTGTGTGTGTGTGTATTTATTATATTGCATTTATCTTATTTTATCTATCTTAAATGTGACGTGCTATGGATGTTGGAACGCTTATTGTTGTAAGTCTATGTTTACTTAGTGACAGACCGTTTATCGGTAACGATATGTTTTGTTTGTAAATGAATGAGAAAAGTGGAAGATTTGATTAAAGTTAAGGGAATGAAATCCGTTTTCACCCCTTTATTGAGTCAAAGGTCCTCACAATCTTCCTTGTAAAGTAGCGACCAGAAATTTCTAGAAGTCCGCGTTTGGTGTACTAGACACACATGTATGCTACTAAACCGCTAATGGCATGCATTTATCAGGTGATGGAACTTTCACTGACGTCACCATAGAGACAGACATTGGACCCAGCTCTCACGCTAATGGTGCTGTCTGGGCTGACTTTGACCAGGACGGGGATCTGGACCTTTATGTGACAACACTCGGCGATAGAAGGCATTACCTATACATCAATCATGAAGGCCACTTTAAAGACGAAGCTATGCAGAGAAACTGTTCAATGCAGACGAGCAGCAAACGAAAGCTTTCTGGAATGACACCAAATGTTGGTGATTTTGATCTAGATGGGTTTGTCGACATTTACGTGACAGAATGGCTTCCGCATACTTTGGGAAAGGTACATTTCATTTTTATTATTCAATCATTATAAATTGTTGACTCCCGAGAATTTAAATTGTTGGCATTTTTTGTTCCTGTTTTGACAATTACGTTTTACTAATAACGTTAAGGTAACATGAACACCAAAAAGCTCAGTGAAACGTTTGTGGCTGAAGTTGTCATCATGATGAGTGTTTCAAAGTTTCATTGTTTCGATTCTCTCTTTTCTAAAAATCATTCTCAAATAAAAATCACCATTGGGAAGTAATCACACCAACATTCTGGCGATTGCTATTTGCCGGGCTAACTACATCACGTAGTTTAATTAAATTTCTACCCCTGAATGCGAGAGCTCCTAAGCTGTAACGTCACTAGGCTAATGCTACCATAAATCAAATGCATTCTATCGTTTTCTGGAAATAAATTAATCACCGTAAGATTTTTAGTTAGATCACAAACACCGTAACGTTCTAAAATTAACGAGGCTAGATAGTTTGATGAGCGCCACATTGTGGCAGCTTTTTCCACGTTTTTCTATCGCTACTTCTTGAATTTTTCGGTGGCTTGATACTTAAAGGTGGCAAAAAACAAACAAACAAACAAACAAACAAACAAACAAACAAACAAAAAAACACGGTAAACCATTTATGATCTAACACGCCCAACATCTGCCATAAGATGTGACTACAGGAACATAAGTAGTTTTATTTATAGAACATTACCGCGGTAATTTAGAGAGCAATAGGATAGAAGTAAAAACGTTGAAATAAATTAACCTGAGGGCTGCCAGTGAATAGTCGATGGTTTTGCCCTATTATTTCTGTTATTTTCGACTGCTATTTTCGAAGATATTTCAGTGACATACCGTGAGCTCGCATCTTTCGGGAGGTCGCTGGTTTACGGTCATAAACCTTCACGAAAATTGTCTTGCAATTATTAAATGTACGATACCTGTCTTTCAGCCGTCAACTTCCAGGCTTCTTAGGAACAGAGGATACGAAGCACGTGGGTAAGTTTTTAGTTAGCTGATTAGACCGTAATATTTTTGATGGGGACTGGGTTGACAATTACCCCCCAAAAAGTTGTCCCTGAAAAAAACACCAAATCAGTTGTACAAAGCAAGCCACGACAGAGAAATGTATCTAGAAAATTGAAAGCATATCTTGCACGACGTGACGCTGATGAAAAAAAAATGAATAAATAGTGTTTGCTCCGAAAAGTTCCCCTGTCCCTTCTCAAAAATAAAGTGGTCTACCAATAGTCAAGATGACGTGGTTTATAGTGTTAACTTGAGCCTTTCTTGCGGATTTCTTATGCCTTAGCTACTAATCTTGTTCAGTTCTTGGAGCAAAGACGGTCCCGTCTATCAGGTGTTGTATGTGTATCTCACCATGTGAAGACTTTGAGCAATCGTCAACTATAAACCACGGGCCGCTTTTTTGGAGTTTAATTTCGGTATTGTTTTCCGTTGGAGTGCGGCGGCCTCATGGTTCGCGGTGGCCTCGGGGTGACCTCATGGCCTCATGGTGCCTCGTCTCCGGATCGAGCGGTCCGGGTTCGAGCTCTGGCCGGGGACATTGTTTTGTGTTCTTACGCAGGACACTTTACTCTCACAGTGCCTCTCTACTCCCAGGTGTATAGATGGTGCCTGGGAACTTAATTCTAGGGGTAACCCTGCGGTGGACTGGCATCCCGTCCAAGGGGGGGGNGTCGCTTCATGCAACAGAAACCGGGATAAACGCCGCTCTGATGAGCCACTTGGCTTTTATACAGACTTTACCTTTACCCTTTTATTGGTCTCTGACGATTTAAAATAATGCAGGCTTTTAAAGTGAAGGAAAGTGGGAAACTAAAAGCAGCAATCACGCTTCACACTTTCTGGTTTCTCCCCCTCCCTCCCATTTGAACGCCTGTCACGCAGGCTAACACTAATGCGGCTAAGCATGTACACAATGCAGTCCTTAACGTTCTTGTTGGTTGTCATTTTGTTCCAAGATTCCTTCCAGAGAAGTCCCTTTCGACAACGGCGAACTAAACTGTTATAGGTGTTATTGTGGATGTAGCGATGCTTAACAACAATTCTTTTGTTCCCCAGGTATTTTGAAGATGTTACCTTGGAAGCAGGAGTAGATATGGACAATTTCTACAAAAGGTCTTTACTCAACAGAGGAACCTACACGTTTGGTTCCTCATTTACAGTAAGTCGAATGCGTGACAGTCTCCTACTTCTCTACTAAACAATCGATGAAATTGACTTCCCAATTATGTGCTGTTGAGTAGCGGTGGCTGTTTATCGGGATCCATAACATTCGTGCTGCTCGACGTCACTCCTCTGCAATAGACCCCGCAAAAGGCCATTTAGGTTTCCGAGCTGTCTTTTGCCTCGGTGTCAAAACGAGTCTTAGTACGAAGCCATTCGTATGGAAATGTGTTCTGCCTACATGTTCATTTTCATGCAAATCAAACTCATTTTCTTATGAAACGTTTTGCAAGAGAACTTGTTTTGAAACAGAGGCACAAGATAACTGGGAAATGGCCTGTAAAGTGCTGTTGAACAGCAATGGCTGTTTATCTGGTTTCATAATATTTGTGCCGCTGCTCTGCGACACGACAGCCCTCTGCAACAGACCAGTCATATCTTTATCTTTGCAATTTTCGCCAGGAATTGATCAATACCCTACGGGGAAAGGCAGGAATCCACCACAAAGTTCTTTTAAAATCGACCTAAATTACCTTGAAACTAACATTACCCTCGTCCTCCGTACCTGGCAAATAAATGGCAAACTGGCAAAGGGGCACATCTTCGAATTCACTTTTTTGAGTTCAACATTCCTGTTTTCGTATCCTACCAATGAAGAATGAAACCGCCTGGAAGATGTTAACAATTCACACGGACCAAGGAAGTGTAAATTTAAGTGAGTCGCGGTTCCACTTGTTCTGCTACAGATCAGAGGAAAGCTGCTAACTTTTAACCTTCCGGCCCCATATAAGACGCTGTTGAGGGAAGCTATCTTAATGCTGATCTCCTTATGCTGCAATCGAATTTGTAATTTTTGGTGTAACAAATCTATCTTGATTTATTCTAGGACTTTGACAATGACGGCTGGCAAGAACTGCTGGTGACTGCAGACTATGGAGACAGTAAAATGTTTTGGAATATGAAGAACAACTTCACGGAATGTACTAAGTTTTGTGGCCTTGAAGCAAAGCAGGTAAATCTTGTTTGTGAACAGATGGTATGCTGCTACTACTAGCCTTGAATTCTGGCAATGAATTTTAATTACATTCAATGCGTTCAAAGTTTTGCTAATTTTTGCTTTCCACTATACGGGAATAAATTCGCTAGTACCTTTGTAATAGACAATTGGCTTTATCTTATTTCTATTCTTATTTTTATCTTTGCAATGAAAAACAAAGTACAGTTAATAGTTTTAAGAAACTATTTATCACTGTCCATTTACATATTTCGTAATCATTGATGGATCTGCCTCGTTAACTAGTCACTTGTTCATTCTTCTGTTCTCACCAGCCCTCGTGCAGTATATTCTTCCCATCAAACCCTGCCCGCTGGCGCCGTGTGATCGTTCCCTGACCACGAGCTCGCACTCTCACAGATAAACACCGTTGCAACAGATTTTTCCAACAGTTAACGTAAACTAGATTATTCTTGAAGTAAATTAATATTTGCCACTCGTTCCAGGACGCTATGGGCCATGCGATAGGGGACTGGGACAATGATGGTTATCTTGACTGGTTTTCTAGCGCCATATGGCACAACAGAACTGATTGTTCCGTGTTCGGTTGCAAGTTTGAGAGCAGTGGAAACGTGCTATTCCGTAATTTGGGAGGACGACAGTTTGAAGAAATCGCAAAGCAGGTGATAAAGACGTTTCTTAGGCTGGTCATGAACAAGAATAGCGGCAGGACTATTGCAACTAGCAAATCATGTTCATTATATCGAATACTGAGGAAGTTTGAAAAAGAGATTACTTGAAATCCACAGTTTAATTCAGCCCTTTAATTCCCAAAACCAAGCCTTGGTTCAATTATACGGTTGTCCTCTTCAGTTAATCTAGTAGGTTGTTTTTCGCATACTCAGTTACCTACTCGCGCAGTTTGTTTTTCAGTGTTAAGAATATTTGTTTGAAGCGTTTAACTTTCGCACGCTTGGCTTTAAACTTTAATTTCTAACTTGATCAGTTCTAATGTTTCTAAGTTTAGCGATCTCTCTTGAAACCGAAATACAGCGACGATACAAAGTTATTCCGTCTCTGATATATATTTATTCTTACTGCTTTGTTAAGAGCGATTTTCAAATCGAAGAAATCAATCTAGCCAATCAAAAAGGACAAAGGAAAACTCGAAATTATTACATGTAACTGACAAAAAGCGCGGGTGGCGCGAATTTTTTAAAGCCAATCGTGTAGCGTAGTTGATGCAAAACTAATCACTTTTTGATACTCAACTGAAAACCGCTCTATGGTCATACTGATTACATTGTTGAAATACCCAAGGCCCGTTTAATCATTGCTGAGCCTTTCATAAATCATAGTACCTTTTGACTGTTTTCTTTTTCGTTTGTCTGTCTGTCTGTCTGTCTGTCTGTCTGTTTGTTTGTTTGTTTGTTTATTTAGGTCGGTGTGACAAACGGTGGGTGGGGTTGGGGTGCTGCGTTCGTGGACTTTGATAACAATGGATTATTGGATATCATTATGACCAGCGGTAAGCGTTTAGCGAATTAATATGCGTACATGTTTTTGAGGGAGTGGTTTTTTAGAACTGTCCTTTTACTATGAGTTAGTAATTTTCCGATTACTACAATTTCTTATCAGGTATCGACTTCCCGACGACAACAACAGATGATCATTTTCGAGTGAATAGCATGCATTTGTGGCAAAACCTCGGAGCTGGTCGTAATGAAACAACACGAGAGGTAAACGATTGTTTTATTATGTTCAATCTGTGATTAATTTTTTTTCCTTAGTGATTCAAGACAAGTAACAGGTTTTTTCAGGAATAATATTTCTTGAGGAAACCATAAGGAGGCGATGATGTGTTTTCATTAAATTCTCAAGATTTTTGTCTTTCTTTTTTCTCCGCATGTCAATTTCAGGTGTCCGCTTTGTATGGCCTGAATGGCACGGGACAAGGACGGGGCCTGCTTAAGTGGGACTATGACGGTAAGAAAGTTATGAGAAATCTAGTGGAACAAACTTCAGAGAGAAATTGGTTTCAGATCTGAGATGCTTAAAGTTGAAACCCGAATCAGTGTACGAACTTTAGAACTAAGAAGTGAAAAAGCCATTGGAAAAATAAATTTTTTATCTCAGTCTGAATTGAGGTTAAGAGTTCGAGATCCGAGAGGCAAATGACATCCACGCAAAACGGCCCTGGGTAAACTTACTTTCCCTTCCCCGGGAGGGGTACAGAAGCTAAACATCCCTACGTGCAACTTGATTTGCTGTTGTGTAGGGAACCGGAGGGGGAGGGGTGAACTCCCTATAATGGCCTATAGGGAAAGGTTCCTCCCGAAAGGAGTACTTTTTTTAGCCTTCAGATCTCCAAAAGGGTAGGTAAGTTAAGTTACATGAAAAGGTAGGGAAATCTGTCATTTAAATATTTTAAAGGGCCTTTAATGTATTTAAAACAAACGCACCTTATGGCTGTATCATTTCATTTACTGGGCACTGTATGAAAATAACACGGGCTAGTTATGAAAGAATGTGAAACGAGTACCTTTTTTCAATTAGAGGTATACCGAAGGGGTGCATTCTCTGTCAAAATGGTATGCAAAAGGATAAGGGGTTGTACCTCGGGGCGGGGCCTCCCTGTATATAACTTTGTAGAGTACTCCCTCCCCCTCCCCCCGGGGTAAAGAACAAGCGAGTCATTCGTGGTGAGTTGTTTGGTGCACCACTCAGAGAATACTGTGTCATTAGTACAGATGTATTTCATTTTTCTTTTTAGATGATGGCGACGAAGACATCATAGTGTGTAATAATGTGGGAGCTCCATTTTTCTATCAAAATCAGCAAAATGAGTCCAACAAGTGGATACGAATACGTGTCGTACATCGGTAGGTTAACTGATCGTCGGAAGTATATTTTGTACATTTGTAATTCGCATTGTGTTAAACCTAAAGTTTTCTCAAGGATTTAGACCCTTCTGCTCTTAAAATACGGTCAAAGGTTGATTACTTTGACGATGATAAACGTTTCTTGGAGGCTTTCTTTGCCGTAGAAAGAACAGGTTCATATGTCTTGTTACAGATACGATTAAGAAAAAAATAGAGGACTAAGTTAAAAAAGGAGAGGAAAGTGGGCAAAAATCGCATATTTTGCGACAAAAATCATAAACTGGATCAAACTTCCTTTATTATAAGATA